GGAATATTTATGCACAGATCTAAATATGTAACAGAACAGGTCTTACTGGTCTCCTCTATATCTATAAAACACATTCAATTGATTAAGAGGAGAAAACTTTCTGGAGTAGCAAACATTCCCAGAAACAGATTCAATTACTTTACAACAACAAAACATACAGGAACATTTCCATACGCTTCAGTTGGTTTCTGATTAAAACGAGCGTTGATCCATGAAACACATTATCAATACTTAACCACATGTAGCCACAATGACACGATGCCAAGAATTATCATACCTCCACCATTGATATCGTAATACGTCGGGGATGTTATTTCAGGATATAGCTACTTTACACACAACATTAGCGACAGCAAACATGTTTTGCCAGCCGTATCTTGGCAATATTGTATTCAGGTTTCTCGTAAATGCCTGTTTTAAAAAATGCATCCTATTCAGAAAATTCTCTTCAAATTGAATCCATCACAAATATGGTAGACGTTTATGATAGTTTATGGTACATAGAGCTGACAGTGTATTCCAAGAAGAGAAAAAGCAGGTTTTCTAAGCAGAATGCCGCTTTTCTTACTATATCAACGTTAGCTGTAAGAGAATGGTCAGTTTTGAAAAATATCTTTTGTCAAAGTGTCATGTGTAATACATTAAAATGCCCTCAACATTTTAAGCTGGAAATACAAACAATTAAATTCAAACAGGTTTAATTGCCGTTGCAAACCAGGGGACATTGTTATATTTAAATATAAAAATTATGTTTCAAATATACTGAATAACATTCACGCGGACAGACTATCCTCGATTATTGACCAAGTGTGAGACCTGTACCATCCGTTTTCACCACTGCTTTGCCTTCTTGCGCCCACTGGAATGTGTTTCGGCAGATAATCGAGACTGGTGATGTCAAAAAGTCCTGCTCCATTACTTGTTCAACATTAGTTTGAGCGATAAAACATAGAATTTAAACCAAAATATTTAATATGAAACGTCAAAAAAGAGAATGATTAGTCTCGATTACCTGTCAAAACAGGTTCCATTAGACACGATAAAGAGTAAAGATGAAAGTTATGAGAAAGGATCACTGACGATCAGTCATGAAATTTATCATTTATCATACGACTGATTCAGCAATCCAGTCCCTAGTTACTTATTGTTACCAACTGTTATAGATCTTTGCTGTGCATTTTCCATATTCCCCGAAGATCCCGGGTACAATGTGTGAAGCCCATTTCTGGTGTCCATGATATTGCTGGAATATTGATGAAAGAGGCATAAAACGCAACTCACTCACTCACTTACTCCACTATAGGAAACAATCCTGCTCTGGCATGTAAATTTAGACAATGTGATTAACAATTATAACTAGAATCGTCCATATTTCGATACATCATCTTCTCAGCTGCAAACTTTACATTTTTAACAATGTTCAGGAGTGTATAATCTGGAGCATGTCAACAAGCAGATGTCAAGAACCTGTTTCAAGATGTCCCTTTTCATATAATCATGTTCAGCTTATAGTTATTCACAGCTTTGATGAGACAGCCTTCCCTTTAATTGTCCATTGCTAGCCCAATGAATTAACAGAACAGAATGTCATTGACATTGACACTTCATTTCTTCTAAAAGGGTCAATGCTTCTGCTTAAATGAAACCCATTGGCAAGGAATACTTTCGTGATATTGTATTGGTTTCCGATAAATGGCAAACTGATTCATTAAGGACGTAACTGTAGCTACAAATAGCTGTGGTATCATACATATAACTGTTTAGACATCCTATTGTACACATTAGACTACAGACAGTAAATATGAGCTGTATCTATGCAATGCATCATCTCATCTCTTACTGAACAAGAACAGCATCCGGAATCTGGAAGCAGTGTTCATCAACTATATCGGGAGACTGATATGGTGACAAAACTTCCTGTGGGCGCTATGACAATCCTATGTTACAGTGATCACATTGTCCCTGTTTTGCGCCATTAGTGCCACCGTTGCCAGTTTACAGATTATCTCTTGAAAGGTGGGCAAAACACATCAACTGATTGACAATACTAACAATATTGACCTCATGGCAAGAACATGCTCTGATTGGGAATAAAATAACGTTTTCCCATTTCAGCTTCTTAGGAGACATAAATTGTCACAGTGGCCTAAACCATTTACAAGGAGACAGAATCTGTCAATTAAGGCAGTCCATAGTTGTAGATTGTTGTGCAGTTTTCATCCTCAACATCATTGATCATAGTTGGATGGCTGCCTTCATCGATAAAGGAAATAAGATTGAACTAATCTAATTTTAGAAAAAATATTAACGATATCTCGACCATGAGATGAAGCATGTGAAGCACACTATCAGTTATTCTAAAGTCCCGTCACGACACGTCATTGTGCCTTCTCCTCCTCCTGTACGAAAATGCATACATCATTTAGTCGTTTTTCTTTCACCATTACAACAACAAATTTTTAAGCATTCTGCTTTAATGTACTTCAAGGGAAGGCCATAAATGTCATGTACAAATGCATTTGTTTTTTAAAAGATTTTATCAATCGAAAATTCCGGTTTACTGCTGTGCTATTCCTTCGGTGTCTTATTTCATAATACTTCAAATCACACAGAGGTGACAACGCCACTGGATCAGAAACACGAATTGTACATGTATCATCATGTACTTAACACGATAAAATTAAGTTCCGTTTTCTTTTACATGATGTCAATTCTATGGTAAATTTTGCTGTTGCTGTTTGGGTTTTTTTGTCGTAGCTGTTGACAAATTGAGACAATACATGTGATTTAGTCAAGATCATGTTTGACAGTAATCTATCTATTGTCCACTAGATGTAGAAGTATACTCTCCCAAAAAGAAACGCATATAGGAATTTCAACTGTATTTTTATGTTTATTTTGAAACATCTTGTAGGCTTTATGAGTCAATGAATATAGCGAAATTGCACACTGGGAATGCAGACTTATCTGTCTTTGGCACCAACTCGAGAAAAGTCAGTTTGAGTGTCACATGGAGGCGTGTGGTGGCGCCGAAGTCAATACCTCGTGTGACCTCCGTGGGCATCCAGAACTGCACGGCATCGCCTCGGCATCGAACGAATAAGTTTTAGTATCTCGTGTTGCCCAATCGCGTAGTGCCTGTGCGAGTTGCTGAAGTGTCTGGGGCTGAGGGTTACGGCGTCGCACCCGTCTGTCCAGGGCATCCCACAGATGTTCGATCGGGTTTAAGTCCGGTGATCTTGTGGGCCAGGGGAGCACATTGATGTTGTGGTTCTGGAGGAAGTCTCTAGTGTGACGTGCTGTATGGGGCCTGGCATTGTCCTGTTGAAACAACTCCCTCTGGCGATCACTGATTGGAAGGAGGTGTGGGCGTAGGATTTCTCCACAGTACCGTTGAGCTGTCAGGTTGCCCTGGATCATCACCAAATCACTTCTCCTACGGCAGGTGATCTCCCCCCACATCATAACACTTCCCCGGCCGAATCTGTCCACCTGGGGAACGCAAGCGTCGGCGAAAGGTTCACGTCGACGTCTGTACACCTGCATTCTTCCATCGCGTCGTTCCAATAGAAATCGTGATTCATCACTGAACCAGATTCTACGCCAATTCGGTAGGTTCCAGGCTTGAACATTGGTGCACCATTGAACTGGATGTCGACGATGTTGTTGTCGAAGCACAGGGCCAAAATAAGGTCTTCTGACACGTAAACCAGCCTCTCTCAACCTGTTCCTGACGGTCTGTGCAGAAAGCCTCCTCAATCCGGGTATTTGTCGAGCGGTACTGGTCGCCGTAGCGGTTCGATGACGCAGGTGATGTAGCCGGATGTAGCGATCCTGCGCCGCTAGAGGTCGCCCACTACGAGGGGCATCTGCTACCGCATTCTGCCGGCGATATCTCTCCCAGAGCCGTGAAATGGTGCTTTAGTGAACATTCATGCGTCGGGCAAATGCACGTTCACACTGGCCAGCTTCAAGCAAACCAATGGCGATATGACGGTTGGCTTCACTTCGACGTGGCATTTTGCGTTCGTCAACAATATTCCAAATACAGTGAATAATCGACAGACAGCGATCAACCTTTTATACCCATCATTGAGATTATCTGATCCCCAACTTTCACGTGCATTGCATGTGAATTGTGTATTCTGTGACACTACACGCCGAAATTGAAAATCATGCTGTTAAATACGGGTATTTTTCGGATGGTGCGTTTTGTTGTGATGTTTCAAAACATAAACACCATAGGACTCATAAACAGAGCAAAACCTTTTGTAAAATGAATCACGTTTCAATTCATTGCTACATGAAATTGCAATTTCCATGATGCGTTTCTTTTTTGGGAGAGTATATGTTGATATGATACACTGTGAGGCATACGAAAGTATATCGGGTCGCTATTTTTTCAACTAAATATTGAGAGACCTCTTTGTGTGTTTGAATGTGTGGCAGGGTAGGTATCATGGTAAAATCCAGTCACTTGTAGGGAAAATGGTTCTTTTACGCTGGAAACACAAAGTCGTCTTCAAGGCATCATAAATTTGATCGATAAAGGTCAATTTCACAGTACCATACACAAAGGAAAGACTTGTTTGAAGGTATGTACGACTGTTCTATTCTCCAGGGAGAAACATGCGTTCTACAATGGAAATGGCCTAACACGTTCATAGACACCGTTTGGAATTCTTCTATCCTACACTAGTGGTCCACGAATGGATTGTTCTCAAGAAAATGAACATCTGCGATCTCTTAAACGGAATTATAATCCTGTCCAATCGCTTGTTCCGTCACAAAATTGCCGATCTTAAGAACTCGATACCTTAAATAACACACACTGTTGATTCCAGTTTGGTTTATGAACGACATTAATTCTCAACACAACCACTTAAACTGACGTGCAAAAGAAAGTATACACCTGGTTTGGTGGATGATTTTCGATATCTGTGGGGTTCTCAATCGGGTGGGTTTAAAAAGAGAACAGGCCTCGATTTCTCGAAACAAACGTAAGTCTGAGCTTTGTCTCAACTTTATGAAAACGCAGAAAATAAATGCATTTTACTCAATGAACTGAAATCGGTATTTAACTCCAACTATAGTAGACAATTTGAGTTTGGTGGATAGATTACTTAAGTTGTTTGGGCTTTTATATTTTAAAAATGCAGTTGAGTTAAAAATTTAGCTGTTTCAAATTGTGAAACTCAGTTTGAGATTTGAGTAAAAACTTTAGTTTGTTTCGAAAAATCGGGTCCTTGCTCCGATTAGACCAGAATATGTAAACATAACAGAAAGGTATTTCACTAAAAATGTTGAATTGTCACATTAACTACTTCTAAAATAATGAGGGGCGGTGGGGTAGCCTAGTGGTTAAAGCGTTGGCTCGTCACGCCGAAGTCACGGGTTCGATCCCCACATGGGTACAATTTGTGAAGCCCATTTCTGGTGTCCCCTGCCGTGATGTTTCTGGAATATTGCTAAAAGCGGCGTAAAACCAAACTGAGTCAGTCAGTCAGTCTATAATAATGAAAATTATTTTGGTAACTCCAAACCAGATGACTATTTCCAAAATATATGTCCTTTTCGATAATTTACAGCAGGATACCTATTTCTTCTAAAGATCTTACCAAAATATTTACTACGAATGCATAAAAAAACTGTAAATCATCTGAAATGACACATTAACAAGTGTCAAACAAGTACTAACTGCCAATAAGAACTCGGTACCTTAAATACCATGCACTCGATGTATTATAATACAGCATAAAAGACATGTGCAATGTTGATTCCAGTTGGGTTTATGCACGACATGAATCCTCAACACAACCACTTAAACCGACGTGCAAAAGAAATTATACGCCTAGTATGGGGGATGACTTTCGATATCTGTGGAGTGTTTCATCATGTGGGTTTCAAAAGAGAACTTGTTCCGAATATACCAGAATATGTAACCATAACAGAAGTGTATTTCACACAACAAAATTAATTGTCACATCAACTATTTCTAAAATAATGATAATTATTTTGGCAACTCAAAACCAGATGACTATTTCCAAAATATATTTTTATTTTCAATAATTCGGCGTTTAAACATTCGTCAGCATCGTTGCATTAGCCTAATTAACAGCTGTTTGCAGACATCCAGTTTTTATGTTTCAAACTGTGCTATTCTCACTTGTTGAGAGGCAGGATAATGATGCCTCAGATCAGTTATCTCAGGAGTTGCATCCACAGTTCATAGGAGAATAATCTCGCCCAGTGGCAAGACTTGTAATTCTTTGTATTAACAGAGACTGTGTGAACTTTCACGACTGGAGAACCTGCATTCTTGTAAGTTGCAAAGAGAATCATGGACGTTATCCGTTTGTGAGCTATGAGGTCATTGCCCAAAATTAGAAACAAACATATCTTTTGACGTATGAAACTCTTCAGTTCATGTAGGATAATCAGAAGCCATCCCTTTCTAGCTGTCTGTAACATGCATTCTTATGCATACACTTGTATGCGCAGACTCCTTCTTGTGTGGAATGATATGCAAAAAGCGTTTCAAAAGCTAATATTTTTCAACGATGATTGAAGACATGATACTAAACTTTAAAGACATATTAGAAGACAAAAGTTGATGACATTTCTTTGAAGAAATATAGAGCCACTCATAAAAAGTAATTTCTTTATTCATTCTTCAAGGACGTGTTAAGCCATTATGCCTATTATCTATGTCACATACCCATCAATGTACCTTCCTTGCATATTTCCTACACTTTATCATCAAGGCTAATCTCGAGCGCTTAAAATATGACACCAGATATTGAAAAATAAATTCTGCTTCAAAGCATTAATGAATATTGCCATTGGAAAGAACGTACTGAACTCTTTGATCGCTGACAAAGAGAGAATAAGAAACCTCGTTTAGACCTAAAACATTACCACTTAATTCTGCGATCTGGCTTCATCAAAAAGTCCGAGGGTGAGAAGAAAGAGACATCAGTTTCAGGCGTCATGTTACAAATACATACGATATTTTTGAAAATGAATCTAGGACGATGGTTAAGTGTAAAAGGTATTGGGGAACTACAGTCAAACAAAACAGTATCTTCACGGGTAAAACATAATTGAAAACACAGGTTTAACAAAACGTCTAGAAGCTTTATTACACACAATAAAATCTTATTTCTAAAGTGACCAATGGGTTTAGTGACATATACATTGCAAAGACCTTTCCTTGTTAGATATTGTAAAACCTTCGGCACTTAACATCGTCCTCTGTTCATGTATTCATAATTCTACAAACGAGATTTTAAAACTCTTATATTCGACATTACCTTCCAAATATGGATCCATCAAAACAGAGGAGACATCTAGGACACTTCAGAATCACTCAGAGCTGACAACGCGAAACAGGTTTTCAAGTACAATCATGTATTCAACATGAACCAGGAAGTGATGTTTGTTGTATTAATTATCTCAAGACAACAATAGTTTTGGTCAAAGATTCGTGTTGAAATATGTGCATAAACACATACATACCATAATAGAAAAACAACAAACGAAATCTGAAACAAACACTCATTTGTACGATTCAGACTCTATCATGAGCAGTTGTCAAATTTTAAAGGAGGCAATACCTGCATGTTACTGACGTGCTGTGAGGTAGCCTGGTAGTTAAAGCGTTCGCTCATCACTCCGAAGGCTCGGGTTCGATTCCCCACATGGTACAATGTGGGAAGCCCATTTCTGGTGTGATATTGCTGGAATATTGCTAAAAACGGCGAAAAACTTAACTCACTCACTCACTCATTCGCTCTCTCCGCAAACAAGATATGTAAAGAATGCAAACCAATGAAACAGGTTTTCAAGCACCATCATGTATTTAACATGAGTTAGTGAGTTTAGTTCTACGCCGCACTAGCACTATTACACCTATATGGCGGCGGTCTGTAAATAATCGAGTCTGGACCAAACAATCCAGTGATCAACAGCATGACTGACTGACTGACTGAGTTTGGTTTTACGCCGCTTTTAGCAATATTCCAGCAACATCACGGCGGGGGACACCAGAAATGGGGATTCGAACCCGGGTCTTTGGCGTGACGAGCCAACGCTTTAACCACTAGGCTACCCCACCGCCCCTCAACAGCATCAGCGTCGATCTGTGCAATTGTGTATTCAATATGAACAAGGAAATGATGGCCAGGAAATTATCTACAACATAACGGTAGTTTTCGATTCATAAAATATTTTTGTCAAATATTCATGTTGAAACATGTCCATAACATGTTAGCTTTTGTCATTTAAACACATAAGTACCATTATAGAAAAAATAATTTGAAACAAGCGAAATCTGAAACAAAGACTCATCTATACGTTTCAGACTATCATGAGCACTTGCCAAATTTAAAGAAGGCAATATATGGGTGTTACGGGACCCTTTTCGCAAACAAGATAAACAAGACAAGGTGTGAATATACAACGTAATGACATGTATCAAATGTGTTTGTAGATAAAATATTCATTTTGTTTCATCACTTCAACATCACTTACTAACTTCAGCTTATATGTCTGTACTCTGGCACTGAGGAATAGTTTTTGTATTTCATGGAACATTACCTGGCATTATTTTCATCACCTTCTCCACTTTCCCGGGATTCATGTATATGGGCTTATACGAACATTGATGTACATTTCCAATACAGTTTCATTCGTCTCTTAACGTCAGTCTTGAAGCACAAAGTCTGTCAGTGAATAGTTACAAGATCAGGTATTTCGGGTACTCTGTAATAAAATAATAATCAAAGGTTTAAAGATTATATAATCTCATCGGATACTTTTATGCTTCATTAATACAAATTTTCTATAAGATACGAGAAAATTGATTCACGGAGCATTTGCTTCTTTTTCTCAGAATTGAAGGTCAACAAGATGCTTATAAAACTCTCAACAGAGTACCTTTTGTATCAAAATAAGCTTGCAAGGATTGCTGTATTTCCTTAGTTTGCTTAAGATATATCTGAGTTTCACACCTTTAATGTCTTCCATAAATCTATGTGTACTAATTTGATGGACAAAATAAACTGTGGGTAAATATAATGTCATTTTATATTTTAACTCAATATTGTTTCTAACCGATGAACGTATACTGCCCCACTGTTTTTGTTTCGTTATTCCAAGCTATATAACGGCGGTCTTTGAATAATCGAATCTGGTCCAGACAATCCAGCGATCACCAGCATGAGCATCGATCTACGCAAATGGGATACGATGACATGTGTCAACCAAGTCAGCAAGCCTGACCAACCGATCCCGTTAGACTCATCTTACGACAAGCTGCCTAACCAAACTACCAGGCACAAGAAAGTTGTCACCGACTTCACTTGACCCAAAAATAGAAACAGAGACATATTTGAGATTTATGATAATTATTTTACAAACAGAAATATTTTCCAATAATTTGACTGAAAAGTCATCGTAATGATGGTCTTGCATTTGCCGCAATTCATTGAGAAAGAGGGTCAAAATGAAAAATATACACAAATGATTTTATTCAAAAAGTGCATAAAGAGTCCCATAATGAGACAGGAGTGGGGAACACGTCATCGATAGCGAGTGTGACCACCCTGGGCATCCATACACGCCAACACATGTCTCCTCATGACGTCAGCAGGAATTCAGTTCCATAAGCCCAAGAGAGTCTGTTCAAGTTCCTGTCGGTTCACTGGTGGTACACGCTGTCTCATCCATGAGATGTTCAAAGGGGTTCATGTCTGGAGAACGCGCCAAGGCAATACGTTGACGTTAACGTTGTGCAGGTATTCTCGAACAATTCTAGCGGAATGAGGCCTTGCGTTGGCAAAACGCTCCTATTGGCTGTTGTCGGCTAAAGGGTACCACAAAAGGTCTCAACAATTATTCATCCCTACATCGCTGGGCATTCAGGTTTTTCCATGATAACCTGTCTTGTTGTTCTCTGTCTAGACATGCTGTCCCATACCATGCCGCCTCCTTCATCGAACGGATGAATTTCTT